TCTTCCAACACAAATATTATTTTTTAATGGAAATGCGGTGTTAAATGATGAGATGTAGCTGTTTCTGTCCCTGGGACAGAATGCACTGTTTAGAGCAGCACTAGTTTGAAGTAACTTCAAAATGAGTTGTAAAAAAAACCAAAAAACCAAAAAAACTGAACCAACCAAAAACTCTGACTCTGATCAGCTTGCTGTGGAGACAATGAAGTGATGTAAATGTCATCAAGGAAATGACTTTACTTTGTTATTCTTAACGGCAGTAAGGGACAGGAAGGCAACCAATTCCCTTCCAGGCTGAACTTGCAGGTGTGGCACCAGCAGCTGAGTGTGATGTCTGCTGGCTCAGACAGCAGCTGGGGGTCCTGTGGCCACACTGCTGGCTTTGTTTGGCCTCAAGGCAGTGCTTAAAGTGATGTGAAACCGCTGCTTTCAAGCAGTTTTTAGGACACGTTAGATATCAGTAAGGCTTTACACATGCAACGTTAATTAGATTTATCCTTCATTGCTACTGGTGTTTTTTAATTGGTAAGCATTTGCCAGCATTAGCACTCATTTCACAACGTGTGTGCATCTTGTTTACTCCCCCTCTGTGCCGATTTATAACGATATATAAGCATAATGATACCTCTCGAAGGAAAAGACTCTGGGCATCACCAGGCTTCAGCTTGGAGCTCACTGCATTCCCCCCACCTGTTCATATTTTGGTAGGTTGTACAGGAGAACGAAAACGTTGTCTTCTGCTTGGAGTGTGCCCTGCGGCATGTGGAGAAACAGAAGTCATGTCGGGGACTGAAAATGATGTACCGCTATGATGAGGTTTGTGCAGTCGTCACAGCTTTTCTCTTTTGCTGCTGTTTGAAGTGAGCTCACAGAGTTCTTGTTGGATGAGAGGCCCGGTGATGGCTGGGGGTCAGTGTGCAGACAGGTAACGAGCACAGAACTGACGGCGGTGATTCAGGACTGTGCCTGGATTCCAGGCTAATGCTGCATTGCGGTACAGTCAAACAGCGCTCCTTACGTGCCTGCTTAGCACCATCTGTAGAAAAAGTCTGTTTGGGGGTGGGATGGACAGAGGAGGGGCTGTTTGTTAGCTTGAGACGTGGGAAGGGACAGAGTGGGAGAATTTACGAAATTGGCTCTTTGGGAGCAGTGCTGATACAAGCAGCTCTGAGGCGGATGTCTCAGCAGCTTCTGATGTGCAAAGAGGTCCAGAGGGGAAAAAAAACCAGAAGGTTTGGAGAAGTTGTGCCATTCTGGCTGGCTTTGGTTTTCATTGTGGGCTCCATTGCGCTATCAGGTGCTGTAGCTACAAACAGGTACAGTCCAGGATGTCCAGGCAACAGAGAAACTGGCTTTGTAACATGGTAAATACACTGAGGAGCGCCAGGAGACTCCTCAGAAATTTAAACGTATTTCTCTAATTCTTGAGCTTATTTAGGCTCTTACATCCCGGGTCTTCACAGAACTGATAACTCTATTGAGGTTTTCAAAGCCACTCTTAATCAGCACCACATAAAGTAATGACTGGTTTTATAATTACAAAGTGGGGATTTGGGGCTGCAGTGGGAAAGGAAAAATCTCTCCTTCAGTACTGGATAATATTTCTTCCCCCAGTGAAAAGACTCTCTCAATTTCAGCACTTCTGAAGGATACTCAGTGTATGCCTGGTAGATGTTACATAATTTTTTTGAGAGCTGTGAATAGGGAAAGAGAGAGAGAGCCTGCACGTCAGAATGCCATCTGTTAAACCTATTTCACTGTTAGCTGCGCTTTGCTCACAACCAACTTCTTAAGATTCCTGCCAGGAGGGGTCCATCCCCCTCTGCCCCAGATTTCACTGAACCACTGACTGCAGTGAGAGCAGGAGCGGTGATGCAGCGCAGGCACTGTGCTGTGCTGTTCAGGGACTTCCTCATTCTTACCGCAGAGCCACGGACCTGTAGCCCTTTCCCTGTGCGGCACCAAGCACTGGCCTGGAGCACTTGGGGCATGCAGAGATCCTACAAAGAAGTAAAGCAAAATAGCATCCTGTAACAAATGACAACAATGTCAATAGGGAAAAGCAGGACTTTCTCGTGAAGTTTTAAATAGATATTCAGTAAAGAGCAGATTGTCACCTGCAAGCATTGTCACCTGCAGATTTAAGTTCATGGCGTTTATTGCTTTGTTCAGCAGTGGTTTTAAGTTGCATCTGCAGCGAAGTTTTGGCTCTGCTGAGCTGTATCTGTGCAGCCCAGAGCTCAGCCCGGTGCAGTCCTGTCACCCATCACTGACTTTACGTTCAGAGCCAGGAAACTACAGCAGGGGCACCACTCTAGGTACCATGCAGTGGTTGTTAGCCAAAGCCCACCTGTGAAATAGTAGCATGTGGTTGTATGGGCTGCTGTGCAGTTAGTTAGCAAAGCAGCAGCTGTTTCCCCCTGCTTCGGTGCCGTCAGCCAAAGGACGGCGCTGCACCGCTCTAACAGACAGAAGCACCCGGAAAAAGGAAGGATGCTCACTTGTGTCTTCTTTTCACACTTCCTGAACAGGAACAAATAATCAGTCTGGTCAATCAAATCTGTGGAAAAGTATCTGGTAAAAATGGCAGCATTGAGAACTGTATCAGCAAGCCCACACCAAAAAGAGGACCTCGGAAGAGAGCGACAGTCGACGTGCCATCATCCAGGCTTTCATCCTCCAGTTCATCCAAAAGTGCTTCAAGTTAATCCTGAAGATGCCAACACTCTCATTTTGTCAATTTATATATATTTTTTGTAATTATTATACCATAGTTTGGAGTACTTGCTGTAGAATACAAGCTGTCTTTGCACTAGCTCTAAAGAAGATTTTCTTCTGGTTTTAGAGAACTAATTTTGTTTTAGCATTAAACTGTTGAATTTTTTTTTTTTTGTACTTAGGATAGATAGATACAGCAGTCTGATTTTTTTAAACTGCCGTACGTTCACTGTTTTAAAAGCGGCGAGAGGGGCTGATAAATATTAATTTGTATTGTCCCCATGGCTGAGAAAATAAAGAGCCTTTTTGGTAACTGTGAAAAAAGGCTTTTAACCCATTTTTTTGACTAGGTTAAAGTTGGATGTGTTTTCTAATTTGTTCTCCAGTCATGTGAGCAGATTTTTCTAGAGCGAAAAGGGATGGGAGACAAAAAAAAAAAAAAAAAAAAAAAAAAACTTGAAAGAAATTGCTTTACTTTGGCTGTCTTTTATTCTGTCACAGCAAGCGGAGTTTTGTAATTTTTTAAATTGGAGAATACACACTTTCTTTGGGAGGTTATGGCAGCTGAAGATGGACTTTGTTTCCTAACTGTAGGCAAAAGGAGGAGAGTTGGAGTATGTTCTCTTTTACCAGCACATCACTATGCATCTGTTTTGAGGGGGAAAATAAATAATAAAAAAAAATAAAAAAAATAAAAATAAAAATAAAAAAAAGGAGGAAAAAAGACTGCCTGCCTTGAGGAGTCACGTGAGGGAAAACTGTGCCTGATTTCATTAGGAAATCCATTCTGTTATTTTTTGGTGCTGTTGGCTACTTTATCAAAAACCCTTCAATAGCATCCTTAAAGAAAAAAAAAAAAAAAGAAAAAAAAAAAAAAAAAGTGATTGAAGCCATAAGTGCTTCTTTTGTCATAGACGTGCAATCTTTTTAACATTCCATTTCCATTCCACTGCTGTGTTTCACACCTTTGCACCGTCGAGCATTAATTTTTGTTTCGGATTCGTTTCATGACGCGATCACGTTTAGAGCCACTAGCAGGTCTGCGTATTTCTTTTGAATGTGAAAATGCATTTGCTTTCATCTTGTCTCTTTTTTCTCTTCATGTTGTAACAAAAAATCACACCTTTTGTACATATGCCTGTAAATTTTTTTAAATACTTGAGCCTTTTCTTGGGGTGGGGGGAGGGGCGGCGAGGAGACGAGATGAAGAAAAGCCTTACGTTTCACTTTCTTCATCGGTTGGATTGGATGCTTACAGGGTTTTTCTTGTAACATTTATAAGTGCTGCTTACATCACTGAACAACAACAAAAAATAATAATGGAGTAGCTGTTGCCCTTTTCTGGTTGTGTGTACAGTATGTGTGGAATAAAAAAGGGAAAATGTTTTCACAAACTGTTTTGTTTCGTAATTGAATTCAACGATACCGTAGCTACCCATATTGCACTGAGCTTGCCAGTGGTGACTGTCAGGAAAGTCCTATACTACGATTTGTTGGTTGTTGTTGCAGAAGACTGAACTGTTTTGGAATATTTAACAATAACATAAACAGAGTCAAGTGTTTTCAAATGTGGTTGTCTGGTTTTTATGGCCTTGCTGTGTACTTTTTCCCTCTTGACAGTAAACTTCTGACTATGGCTTACAGTTTGACATTTAATTTATTAGCGCTGCTCTGCTCTCTTTCCTTGTAAGGAAAGACTTCATGTTGTTTATTGCCAGTTTTTTGTTTACTTTCCAGGTTTGTACTACGAGGTTTAATAAAAAAACAAAACTTTTTTGGACATTTTGTCTGTCTTCTGGAAAGTGAGTGAGTGAAGCGAGCTCCTCCAAGAAAGCTTTCTTTTCGACAGCGGCCTCATTGAATGCTAAGGAGGGATTATTTCTGCTGGTAGGTAGCAAGCTCCTAGCCAACATGTCCTGCAGGTCAGGGGACGGAGACACAGCGAACCCTGAAGGAAAGCAGCCTCCTCCCAGTGGCTCTCTCTCATCTCTCATCTCCCTCAGTGCCCACCACTAACTGCCGGGGTCTTGGGAAGATCTGCAGCACAGCTCCTCCTTTTACTTACGCCGCTTCTGATTACATCCCTTCCCTCAGCACGTGAAGAGCGGGAGCCGGGAAGCTTCTCAAAGGAGAGCAGATCCCTGCAAACAGAGTGCGAGACTTGACAAGAAACAGGAGTTAGGTCCAGACCACAAGTGCAGAGAAAACGACTGCAAAAAAAAAACACGAGGGAATTAAGATGACGACCATACCTCTTAAATCTTGTACAACGTATGCACTTCATTTATAGTAATTTATTCAGCTTTATTTCCCTGAAATTGCTGGCTTGCCTCAGTGCAGTCACACAGATGTTACCATGGAAAAGTAAATTCCACTGGTGCTCAGGATAAATAACCAGTTTTTCTGATTGCTGCATTAGCCTTCTCTGTACGCTGTCATGGAGAAAGTACTTTGGGCAATCAAGTGAAAGACATGGTTGGGATAGAAATACTTTATTTTATGTCGAAAGAGGAGTAAGCTTACACAATGCTACGGTATCTGCTCCACGAGGAGTATAACACTTCCATACGCACCTCTCCTCCTTTGAATTTCTCTTTTTTCCTTAACACCTACGATAACTAAGTCGGTCCTGAATAAGAAGTGTGAGATAGTAAATGCTGCTGCATCAGTAGACAAAAGCGGTAGGCAGACAGTAGGTAGCAAAGAGTAGAAAATAGCTTTCCATTTTGGTTTGGATCTTAAACCTTCAGGTGCAGCAGCTGAAAACATGCAGGGAACAATTTGGGGTCAGCATTATACATCAAATGGAAAGATTCCCAATCAGCCGTTTAAAGGTTAGCGGTCGTAGTAACTTTTATCTTTCCCCTTTACTTCTTTTATACATAGTATATACAAAAGTTTCACTGCTCCCCTGAGCCCCAAGACTACTGTTAAAGTGTGTGTGCTTTAGGCATATTTTTATTGTTAAAAACCAACCTCCACCTGACTGGCAATTCTGTAAAAAGGCTGCATGTAGTACTAGTAAAAAGGTCTGGCTGTTTGGATTGGTTAGCAAATTGTGACACAGGCAAGCTCCTCATTCATTTGTTCATTCATTCAGAAGTCATTCTTAAAGGATATGGTTTTAAGATTCAAATAGTTTGAGAGTCACTTTCATCACTAACATCTGAAGCACCCTTTCTTTCAGTGACAGCAGCAAGTGCAGTGTCCACTTGAACCTCCTCTTCATCAGACTGAACGACCGGAGATTCTCCTTCGCTCGCCTCTTGGCTGGCAGAATCAGTGCAGGTGGATGACAGCGAAGACAGTTTGTGGCGTAATTCGGACTGGCTCGGAACCTGAAGACTGATCTCATTCACATAGGTGCTGGAGTCAGGCCCTTACAGGTGGAAAAACAACAAGAAGAAATAAGCTGTGGCTCAGCAATGCAATGAGAAGTCACCGTGTTAGCAGAGCTCAGAGTTGGCTTATGAGTTGCACTCAGGCTCCTCTGCTCCTTTTGATGCTAAAAAATCCTCCCAAGACACAAAGCTGCCTTTTGGCTTTTCTGACCACTCTCAAATATAAGCTGCAGGTTGATTTTTGAAACGTTTCTGATGGTGCATGTCTCTCGCTCGTTCCAGTATTTTAGTACTCGAGTTTGAGTTTTAGAAGAGTGAAGGAGTATTGTCATAACTTACATCCAGTTTGCCTGTTAGCCAGGACCATTAACCTTCCTAACTCAGGCTATAGCACGTGCTGAGAATCATCACCAACCGGAAAACCCTCCAAAAATACCTGTCCAACAGAATGACACTCAAAAAATAAGTGGAAAACAGAACAACAAAAAACCCACAATCGAAACCACAAAAACCTGGAAGGCAGACAATAAAAACAATCTCCAGATTTGACTAAAAACAAAGATACAGAAGCACCTCAGGTACTGTGTTTGGCCTTGGGGCCCTCACTACAAGAAAGACATTGAGGCCATGGAGCGTGTCCAAAGAAGGGCAACGAAGCTGCGAGGGGTCTGGAGCACAAGAATTATGGGGAGCAGCTGAGGGAGCTGGGATTGTTCAGTATGGAGGAGGCTCAGGAGAGACCTCATCAACTACCTGAAGGATAGTTTCTACAACTACCTGAAGGGAGGCTGTACTGAGGTGGGGGGCTGTGGCATCTTCTCCCAGGTAACAGCAATAGAATGAGAGGGAATGGCCTCAAGTTGCATCAAGAAAGGTAGAGGTTGGATGTTAGAAAAAATTTCTTCTCCAAAAGAGTGGTGAGACATTGGAAGAGGCTGCCCAGGGAGGCGGTGGAGTCACCATCCCTGGAGGTTTCTAAGAAAAGGGTAGATGTCACACTGAGTGACATGGTCTAGAGAGGTCACAGGCATGAGCTGATGGTTGAACCAGGTGATCTTAGTAGTCTTTCCAGCCTCAATAATTCTGTGATTCTATAACACTGCCTTGCACTACAGCACGGCAGAACTCCTTTTGTAAAGTTGCATTATAGCTCAAGGAACTGGGAGTGGGATTTTAAGACTGCACTCCCTCTATGCTATGCAAAAAGATGTCTAAGCAAATTCAGTGCAACAGTGTCTGCTTGCAGTTTGAGAGTTCGTTCTCTAATGCTACCTTACATCCTCCTCTGGACATTTCCTGAGAGTAAGTAAGGAAAATGGAAAAATCTGAGCTCTCTTTTTATATGATCTGCCAAATAAATCTCTTTTTGCTTTATACTTAGAAACTGTTACGTCACACAGCTTCAGCACTGAGGAACCACAGTGAGAACACAGTACTCTTAGGTAAGAATTTTTTTAAATAAACGTTTCAAGAGGGTGTGGGTAGAAAGGAGCTGACCACACCACCTCAACCCTGCTCAAGGTCAGATGCAGAGCAGCTCATACTACATTGCCCTACAATGGACCTCTCAGTCCCAGCAAGTAACTGAGCTGAACTGTAACTGGCAAACCACTGTAGAAACATCCGGAGGCAATAGAAGCAAACAAATCCCTTCTGATTCAGAGCGAAATGAGTCATCTGGAGTCACAAAACAGGGTTCACAAGACAATGTAGGAGCAACAGCTGTAGAGGAGCAAGGCTGCCCATTCTACCTCTGTGTTACAACTGAGTGCTACAGAGCACCACACACTAGCACATTACATTAAGGTGTGTATGCACAGGTATGCAGCAAATAAACATACACTGTACACACCGTGACACTTGTATCACAATACAAAACGATCACAGTTATTTCGAAGGGTGATACATTTTAAATCAGCTTAGGCAGAATGCAGAATGCAGCAGGGTCTGCATTTCCTCACTAATGCAGTCCTACTGTCTGTTGATGAGACAGGAAGACACAGAGCCCCCTGAGCCAACATCTGCCAGAACCAGCATGGGGAACGGCCCTGACTTCTGGAATTTGCACACACTCAGACAGTGATTAACTCAACCAATGTATGAACTGGATGTCTATCGAAAATCAGCCATCTGAATGCAGTTTTTGCAATGAAATATAAAAACCTTTGGTAGTCACATTCGGTACAGCATCCCCTATCAACTTTTTATCAGTAAAAAGGCAGCAGGAAGCTCTATGCAGCACATCCCTTGTCCGTATCTTAAGAGACAAGACATTAAGCTGCAGTAAGCAGGCAATGAGAGCGACAGGCCAGAAACACCACACAGCTCTGCAGCAAGCTCTCCTGTGTTGCAACTCAATACAAACATCCTGAACAACACCAGTGAAAAACATTCAATCTATGCAATGTTTTATGAGATAACATTACAAACGAGAGCAATTCTTGTGATTAATTGCTTTGGCAGTACTAGGAGCATACCCAGCATGGGAGAAAGCATATTATTGTCCTCGCCTCCTGAGTTTAAAAAGACATCGAGTGCTTCTTGGTCAGACATGTCCATTAGGTCCATCTGTTCCAGCATGTCCACATTCACTTCCATGGAAGACATACTGCCAATTGGTTCTGTAGTAAAAATAGCGCAGTGAGCAAACTGGCCATCAGTGACATGATGTTATTACCTATAAGGCTTTAATCGCTGCTATAATTGTACACATCAGTAACAATTAAACCAGATATGGAAGGAGTGCGGGCAGCAGATAACTGCTGGGCAGCAATCTCAGCCCGAATCCAAGAACTCTGTGCAACCTTCGTAGTGAAACTAAAAATCCATTACAGCTTTTGCAAAACAAAACATTTATAGCAACAGTGCTTGCAGCAATAGCTTCAGAAATGCTCTCAGGTGAGCCTCAGGGACAAACACTGGAACTTTCCATTTTGCAGCATTCCTTCCCGCTTGCCTCAGCCAAGTGTTTTTAGATCAAAACCCAAGTTTGAGCACACAATCTCTAGGCATCAATGGATGGGGACATGGAAACTAGAAATGAGGATTAATGTTAACGGAGCAGCCATTCTTCCTCACTCTATCAATTCAGTCTAATAAGTGGCAGCAGCGTGCACAACATCTGATGCCCAATATCTCTCCAGGCATGGGGATTTCACAGCATTAACACCTCAAGATTCTACTTCTTACTGTCAGTATAAAACTGACTATTCACAGGGGAATTAAATGCCTGGATAAGCATCTTCTTCCTTGAATAATAAAGCATACAAACACAGAATAAGAGTTTTCAGGGGTACTCAAGATTTAAGTCTTTTGGCTGCATGTGTATTCACAAATATAATTAGCACTTTAAAGGTTTATCTAAGTGGAACAATTACTCTATTAAAGCCTTCATACGTGAACTGAAATAAAATTGTATCATAGTGTTCTTCTTCTATACATACTGTATGTATGGGAACTACTGAGTCACAGCCTGAACCTCTGATTGATCACCTGAGACAAGCAATGGGTCGGCTGTGGGAGCACAGGTGAAGGCAATTCAGCTGTGTGCCGGAAGGGGGGGAGCCTGGCTGCAGCTCTCCTAGACCTGTTTAAGAGCTGGCTGCCAGGGAGGAAGGATCTCTGCTGGAGATCTGCTCTGCTGCAGTTTTGTGAGTGGGCCCAGGATAGGGGTAAACCTTCTATCTATTCTCTGTTGTTATCATAGTCTGCTTTGCCAAACTCTCTTGTTTATTTTGTGATTATAGCATCCTAATAGTCTTTGATTATATGCTGTACTTCTGTAGTTTTACACATACTGCCCACATCCAATTATTCATAGAAAGTTTCTTTGATACACACATGTTCTGCATTATACTGAAAATACAAAGTTCAGAAAAGCACATACCCACCTCTCTCAAACACAGCAAAAGCCACCACTAGTAGCAGTGCCCATTGACTTTTAGCATAATGGATTATATATATACACACATATAGGCATATATAAACCACACAAAACCTAGGACATACAATCTCAATTTTTCCCAGACAATCTAGAGCATGCTGCAGGTTGGCATTTATAGTGCTAGTGCAGAGAAACTGAAATCCTGAACTGTGTTCCCTGCTCCAGCATTACAAATGACAGCAGATCTGCTCCTGAAGAATGGACAGAGTTTCCATGTTTTTCCTGCTACATGAATGATTTATCTCCTGCTTTCTTTCCTGTCCTACAAACACTTTGGCCCAACAGATGGATGCTTCCCACACAGAACTGTCTGTAGTCTACAGCATTCTTGTCCTTTAACTAGCTGGGAGATGCCAGACCTGAGTCATCTATAACAAGGAGAAAGCTTCATCTGCATTTCCTGTATCCTGTATCATACTCTGGAGATTTCATAGGCAGCATAAGAAGCTGCCATCTGGGAACTGTTTTTGAAAGACTACACTGAGCTTTGCCTGCATCTCTGGAAACATTCTGAGGCCCTTTCTACCAGGTGATTATGCCAGCATCATGACACAGGTGCCCACCTCCACCCATACCTTCAGAGATATGGGTGCACTCATGAGCTGTAAGGAAGAGCACAATTCCAGAAGTGCCTCAGCACTTTGCATTTTCTCAAATAAGCAGACTGACTTCATCAAGCATCTAGTTCCTCCGGGAACCAAAGGTTGTTTCAAAAGCTTCTCTAAATTTTCAGCTTCCTCAAGGAAGAATTTAGGCATTGCACTGCTTCAGCTGTAAGTACCCATTGCTGGCTGTGACCCTTAATCAACATTCTCTAAGTTGCAAGTTTGTGGATCACACCTGAAGTATTTCAAAACTTGCCTCGTCTCTCTGCTATCTGCAAGTATCCTGTAGAAAGGTATTGCTCCATGTCCTGCTGGAAGGCTTCTTCAAAGAATTTCTGACGTTCCTTCAGCTTCATCTGCTGGGTGTGCTCCATGTCCAGAACCTTCTGTGCATGTTCAGCGTCCAGCTCAGCTGAGCATAAAGCAAAGAAAACAAACAAATCAGTCATGTGCGTGTCCCCCAGCCTCCTGGGATTTCAAAGCCAAGATTAAGTTCAATAGCGACAGACTGTTACTACAGACTGTTAACAGAGGCTGTCACAAAAGGACATTCCTATGCTTTGCAGCTACATTTTGAAGCTGACAATAAAAATACTGTATCACGCAGCGTGGTCTTAACATTGAAGTGATATCATAACTACATGGAGGCAACACGCAGATTTCTTGAACCGTGTGAACCTGAAAACACCATCTACCAGTACTCAGGATGTCAGAACTGGTTAATGCTGATTTTCTGCTATTGTATATATGTCACACACACACAGGAAAAAATACTTTAACTGGGAAGTTTCAGCACATCTCTGAACACAGAAGTACACATACGCAGGTGTGTGCATATCTGTGTGAGGTGTTCTAGTTCTGTCAGCCCCCAGACAGGCTGAGAAGAGAAGCTGAAATGTATCCTAGGTGCAGTGTAGAGGAGCTTATTGGGCTGACATGACGTACAGAATTAGTACTGTTTTCAATGCCAGCATCGCACGGTCATTAATGTCAATACAGAGTCTCCTCTGTATACAGCAGCAATGATGGTGCCAGAGGATGATGACACTGACACCAAAGAAGCAGAGCCAGTTGCCATGAGTTCCTAATACTCTAGCAAAGAGAAAGGGGCAGCTTTTGTACAGACACACAGCGACAGCCAGATTTGCTTACACGTATCTAATGCTGGCCTCTAGCAGCTCCATCCCTCTGTGGAGAAACCAATACTAGCCTGACTATCAATGGAAGATCTCCTGCCTTCTGTTTTGCCCTACAGGAGTCACTGAGGGGCCAGAGGACATACAAAGAAACAAATTGTTATGTTTGGTGAAGAGTAACATTTTCCAGAATAAGATCTTAGCTACTGGAGTACAAACTCCAGCCTATCAAAACATGCTTTAGCAGATCTGCCTTTGGGGAGAAATACAGAAACTAAAAATGTTCCTCTCAGAGCTCTCACTCTGTGTTTCCAGTGTGCTCTCACAAACTCTCTGCTCACAACAAGGAGCAGAATTCGCTGTGGAGTGGCTGATGGAAAGGGCAGGAGTGGCACAGAGCTGCTTTGCCCACCAGGGAGAGCTCCATAAACATCCAGCTACAAATCCTGGCTTCCATGCATCCCGTAGATGCAGCTGGAATGTGGCACCCATACAGGCAAACTCTGAAAGGGCGTAAGGTTGACTGGGGTGAGCACTGCATCAGTGCTCCAGGGAAAATGCTACATCAATGGTATTTCAGAACGTGGAATTCATTAGGAGCATCCACCATTACGGAGATTACTATCACAATGCAAAAGGTGTTTCACTGCACTGGGCAAAAACATCAGAGCGCAGTAATTCCCTCTGTTGCTGCATCACGGTCACAGTTCACGCACAGAAGCTGCAATAGTTGCCAAAAGGAGCTATAAAACCAGACCGACAAACCAAACAGCCATTAAACCATCAGTAAATAAGCTGAAATCTTTTTGTTAGCAGGAATTTTGGTAGTAAAACATCAGTATATTACAAGGAAAGCATTTTCCTTTAAGTCAACCCATCTTTATCATCAGTTACGCAGTTGTGTGCAATGTTTCTACATTCCCTGGAGCGATCTGGGGATACATTGCTCCTCTACTGCGACCCTGCATGATAAGCAATTATTAATGACCCTGCGGATGATGCAGAAATGTTATTCAATTGTAATAATAAAAGCCAGCGGCTCCCACCGGCAGCAGAAACGTCCTGTCTGTCTCGTAATACAACCTGACAGTTTTGCACACTATCTGGGTACATCAGGGTATTTTTAACCCCAGAAGAGAGGCAGTATCCAAGCAACACATGAGAATGGTACAACTTCCCTCACACCAACGCTCTCAGCTTTTGCCTTCTCCCTAAGATGTACTGTGTACTCCCACCGTTGTCCTGGCCAAAGCTAAAGGCTAAGGGCTGCCTGTGTGCTGACAATGTGATAAATGGTAAGAAGTGCTGCCGCTGGGCTAAGCAAAAGCAAACATCACACCTGAACAACAGAAAACATGCGGGGAGGTTTTTGCTAGTGGTGGGTTTTCTGTTTTGTTTTTTTTTTCCCACAAAGCTATTCAGAACTACATTTCCCATTATGCAAGAGCAGGGTTTGTGCTTTATAATACACCCAATAGACCCAGCACCAACAGAGAAGACACAAGCACCATCTGTACACACTCATCCACTGTTCATGGCCAATGTGACCTCTTACAGACATCACTGGGGCTTGACACACATAAAATACTATCTCATTTTTTCTTCCTCTGTGTGATTGTACCTTGGAACCAGCGATTGCTCCACTGCTGAGCACCAGGGAAGGAAGGCAGACTACAGAGCAAACACCAGCTTGCAGACAGCTGCAGATTTGTAGGACTCACCACTATGACCCACACAGAGGCCAGTCGCAGCTCTGAGCCACCTATGGCTTTCTGTGAGAGCGCAGCTATGCAGAAGCAAAATGTTTCTTAAGAACTGGGAGCTCATGGTGTCCGCCCCATCCCCAGGAACAGACCTCAGATCTTTGATGAGATTCAAATAGATTTGAATATAACAATTCTAAATGACTTCACAAGATATTTTTATTTGTAAACAGACTCTTATTCTGGAGGAAAAGAAAAAGCCATATCTTAAGTCAGAGTGCTAAGGCCTCGAACCAAAGTTGACCTCTAGGCGAATCTCACAACACAGCATTATTTATATCATCAATATCCAATCATTAGTGGAATATGTATCTTGGGCAAAGGATGTAGCTTAGACAAAGCATTATGAGAACGTATCAACCTTTCCTTGTTTAGAAGCAAGGCCTACTAGTACATAAACTTCCTTGGTTCCTCCTTGAGCCCTGGCCGGGCTTGAGGTGGAATTCAAAAGGGAGAACTAAATCAGACAGTTCCACCTAACAGCCACATAAACTTCTTTATTTAACAATGTAAAAGCTGGACCCTCTTGTAGTGAAGTTGGAAACCTCATCTATGAGTGGACACACTGCATAGGACCTCCCAGGCTCTCCAAATCCTCACTACAACCTGAGCATCATCTGGATGATGGTAAAGTATTTGGGCAGCTGGCGATGCATCTTTTGTAATCACTATCCTCATGTAGTAATGGTTAGGTGCATTGCCTTGCTCTGCTTTATTCTTGCTGTATCGTTTCATTTATTATCTCATTGCTTTAAACTTAACTAAAGATAAATGCACTTTTTAACTTGGTGTCTGTGACCTTTGTGCTGACCTCGTCTGCTGGCAAAACATAAACACTTGAAGCAGAGCCTAGGAGGTGCAGACCCCAAAGGAACAAATTACAATAGCTTACAACCACATAGCTCAAGTGTAAAGGGAACTGTTTTCTGACAGCATTCGCATGACTGACTGACCTGTTACAAATTAGAATTCCTGCTGCTGTAGCTAAGGGTTTACCCAGCCACCAGCTAAGGACTCTTTTTTACTTTAATGTAAGACATTTCCCTGTTACACACAACAGATATCCTGAATAAGATGTCCACAAAGAAAGCAAACTGGGAGAACAACTACAAAAAAGCAGCATTTACAAGTTTTTGTAGATTGCCAATACATCCCTTAGACCTCAGATGAAAATGAAAGACGTCAAGCTGTCCAAATACAAGGGCTGCTCTGGAAGTAATGTCCCCTATGTTATTATGTTGGCCAACAACATCAGAGGTGGATATTGGTGGTGTGGCAGTAGGGGTTGAACCTTCCCACCAACAAAAACTGGAGCTTAGTCTAAATGCTCCTTTTTTCCTCTCTGCAGTTCATGTTTTTTGTAGACTCTTTCAACCAGACCACAAAATGTATGCAAGCATTCTTCCTAGGGATTCTTGCTGTCCGTAACCGCATTATGGTTTCAAGCCGCTCTTCACTGAACACACTTCAGGTTTTTGATGTTTCTTCAGCACTGGGTGGTGGATGTATGGGCAGAACTAAACTTGACACCTTACGAGGCCTAATAAGCAGCACCAGGGCAGAAAAATCCCTTCCCTGATATGCTGGCTGTGCTCCTGCAGACTAGGATGCTGTGGCCTCTCTTGCTGCCTTGTCTGCTGCTGACTGACACCCAGCTTGCTGCCTTCCACATCCCCCCAGGGCCTTTCCTGCAGAGCAGCACAGCACTGAACTTGTACCTGCTGAGCCTCTCAGTCCTTCTGTCCTATTATTGTTGTTCTGAGTCATCTCCCAGTTTGGTAACTTATGCTTACAGCTGTCTCATTATTTACCCTTTAAGTGCAAGAGAAAAACAAGAGAAGATGCTGGAGTGCCTCAAAGAATACAGGTTTTCTCAAAAATGTTTAAATTGTTCGTGATGGAATTTAGGAAACATTTTGACAACATGAGGGAGGAAGCTCACCAGATCACTCTTGCTCTGTAGCTTGCTAAAAAGTGGTGGGAAAAGTGTTGGCAAAATTTGGAAAGTGAGATACAGGCACGAAAATCTCTGATCCATGTAGGAATGAAACTAAAATAAATGAAAACTACAAGAGATAATTCTTTTAAAACTCAGATTCAACAACTTATTTGCAAAGTAAAGACTTTCTATTTCAAGTGCATATTCAAATGACTACAAAGCAAAAATTAAGCTCCAGCTCACTTGACAGTGAAGTCAGGTTTTCACTAGAACTCAGTGACACTGCATGTTGCTGCAGTCAGCAAAATTGTAGAAAACCATCTCTGCTGGAAAAAATACTCATAGCTCTGAATGAGATTTATTCTCTCAATATCCCGCATTTTCATCAAGAAAGATTTTGCTAAAACCAAGGTTAATAATAATGTTATTAAAATATCAGTCAATAAAATCAATTGCATTCCTATTTAACTACTAATTAGCCTAGAAATAATCCAGCCAAGAAGGAAAGCAGAGGTCTCACCAGAGCAGAGGAATTATGTTTCCTAACGAGCAGTTTCAGTAAGTTGGCTTACCT